TTAGGATTACAGTAACTAGTTCCACTTAAGACCCCTCACAGTGCAAACAACTGTAAACTTTAACATGGGGATGTCATACGAGGTAACCAATTGACTCCTTTTGCATTACCTGTAGATGGTATTGTACTAGTTCCAGGTTTACAGTCAAATACCAGAGACAAAAGACTAACCCCTAACTATTCAAAGTGATTCTTGTTCGTAGAGATCTCATTCAAATGTTCGTTTAACTTGTCTGTTGGTTGGTTTTTTGGTGGTGGTTTTTTATTTATGCACAACTGTCGCCTCTTCGTTTACTTGGGGACGAAAAGGTGTCAATTGGTTCCATTCGCATTACTTGGGGACACATTTGGTACTAGTACGGCTTATAACTAGTACAAGACTGACAAAATTTAGTTAATTGGAATTTTCATTGCTAGCGGGAGAGGTCAAATTGGAATTGTAATGTTAGTATTTCTCTTCCTCTCTTCCATTGATAAAAATAAAAGTTTGTGGCTTAAGTCTTTTGACATGGTTTGGTGCAATGTTTTGGTTATGTTTGATTGTTTATCTCTATTTTAAGTGTATTTGAGCAAAAGTAAGGCAAAAACAAAAACAAAAAAGGAAATATGAAAAAAACCTCTAAGAGAGCATGCTCTTTATTGAAAAAGAACACTTATCTCAATGACTTGAAGGCAATGCATTCGTTTTCAACAAAGACAGACTATTTTTTTTTTTGTTTTTGAAATTTAATTTCGCTTGATAAATAATTACATTGCAGTAAATCACTTTAATTATTTATTTACTCGTTTTTACCTTTTCAATTTTGCTGCAAATCACTCTAATATCTTTACTTTCAAGGATATTATTTATGAGTTAATTTGCCTTAAATTGGGTTACAATCCATCCGACAACTCAATTTAGAAAACCCACTGCCAAAGTGATTAATTGGTCTCCTATGATATGTTGTCATATTAAAGCTAATTATGACGTTTATATTATGACCTTTCAGCAAAATTCATGGTTTAGTGATTTAGGGTCATACTTTGTTGAAGTGATTTAATCATAAGATAATTTGTTAAATTTTGGGGGGAACATCTTTTGTTGGAAAAATATGTCCTTGGGGAAAATAAAACATCTTTATTTGAACTTAGGAAGAATTGTTGTTTTTGTTATTGTAACAAAACCTCTGTTGTTATACAGTAAGCGAATGGACTATGGAGTTTAGTTGCGCAGGGCAATATTTATGAGGTTAATTTTAATTAATATTTATTTATATTTATATTTTAATTATTATTTATTTAATTTAAATTGGAATATGGATAAAATCAGACCACTTCCTTCTAGTATCACCCTCCAAAAGAAGAGACAACATTTTGAATAAACATAAATTTTACGAAATTTGACATAATTTCTCGAAAATATTCGTATTCCAATATTTCTGTCAATATCAAACTTAGGGTAAAGGTGGTTTATATTGGTCCAGAAACTTCCTCACAAAAATTCAGGATATTCGTATTCGAATGTTTCTGTAAAAATCACACTCAGGGCAAATGTGGGTTCATATTAATCCAGTACCTCGCCCACCAAAAATTCAAAAAATTATGAATCTTAAATAAATCCTAAGATGTATTCGATTTGGAGAACGGGTGGCTAATCAATTATCTCGAGAAGATTCCCATTCCTTGATCTACCGATTGACGAGACTGTTAAACCACCAATGAGCTATTTTATCAACTACTTCAAAAAATCTCTCTTCGAAGATGCTGGAAGAAGATGACACTTAGAGACCTGTTGTGGGGTATCTAACGCCGTCTGCCCCCTAATATCGAGAAGAGGAACAAGCACTCTTTTACCACATGCTAGGTCTGATCTAAGAATCGCGGTGTGCACACTGACTGGCTACTGCAGTGTCAGATATCTGATACGTCGTAGACCGACGTCAAAGAAGTGGACATAAGAAAACAGCAGCATCAGCAGAAATGCTTCGAAAAGTAAAGAAGCGACTTGATCGAAACCCGCGTCGCAGTGGCCGAAAATGGTCGTGAAAGAAAGAAAATAGACTCAAAAGAGCTAAAGAGTTGCTTCGCTTAGCCGAATTTTGGTGAACTGCCGAATCGAATTTGGTTTTCTCCGATGAGAAAACATTCGTTGTACAGCAGTTTGTAAACAAAATGATCCGCTCGTGCTAAAAATGTTCGGTTGGCCACCAGAACTCAAGCGCCGGTCATGGCGATGAGGTGGGCCGCCATAACAGTCGACGTGGCTCTCCGCTCGTATTAATCAACCGTGTCATCAGAATAAATGCCGAATATTATCGCGAAAATATTCTGGAAGGAGTATTAAAGCCTTGGGCACGCAAACATTTTGGCCGAAGACCTTGGGCATTCCTACAGGACTCAGCACCATTGTACTCAACACGTGTCACCCAAGAATTGTTACAAAATGAGGTTCCTCGCTCTAAAAATTATAAATATATAGAGGATAATATCCCCCAAATCCCTTCCCTTTCAAGCAGATATCATTACGACCCCCATACCCTATCACCCTTTCGAATGAATAATTATGAATGAAAATCAAATTGAAATTATGATGAGGTAATGCCAAACCGACAATCATCACAGTCGTTAACCTCGCCTAATCGTTTCTTATTAAATGTGTTGGAATACTTACAACAACAACAACAGCAATAACAATAATACGAAGACCCTGCTCATTAATAACAATAATAAAAATAATAGTTGGTGTTTCTGTTGTTGTTGTTGCATTGGGTTGGGAAACAATTCGTTTGACACTGTGAAACTATTTTAAAGCAAAAAAAAAAGCAAAAAAAAACACAGACAGAAATGAATAATCATCACGCCAATCATCACATTTTGGGTTGTTTAAAGGGAGACGACACACGCGGAGAGACGGCCAAGCAATTCACCTGGAATGTCATGAAATAAAATAATGTTCATTGTCACACATATACACATACATATGTATGTGTGTGTATGTGCGTATTTCTGCGTATGGCTGAGCCATTAAACTTGTACTCTTCATAGTAAATAACATTATATGCTTGACAATATAAAAACGCCCTAAAAATGATTGAATGTGATTGTGTGGCAAAAAAAAAAAAATACGAATTAAACCTACCTCATGTTGTTTAATAAAGGTGTTACGCTTCATCGCCTAATAACGAAAATTGAATTAGTTGAGCTATCTCACCTTGATTAAATGCATGATATTTTTGTTTCAGTTTTCTTTCCTTCTTGTGATAAAGTTTATTTGAAGACGATGGAGGTAAACATATTTTGGAGATTTCAGGAAATGAAAATTCTCTAAAATTTAGAGTCTAAAAAAATAATAAAAAATCCCTTAGAGTACGATTTAACTTACTCTCATATCTTATATTCCAATATTCATACTCTCTTTAAGCCAGATATGCTCTCAATAACTCACATATATCTTCTCTTGATCATAGATGGCCAAGTAGGCACGCTTGCGCTGATGTCTCTTATTCTACGCCATGAGTAAAATATCAATAAACAGATATACAGGGTGAGATAAAAAACTGCAACAAAGTCAAACGCCATAATTTTTACATTTTTTTTTTTTTTTTTTGAATGAAAGCGTAAAATTTCATCGAATTTTAGAAAAAAATTAGATTTGTTCGAATTCGTCAGCTTGGGCACGAATTATGGCCTTCAAACCAGCCAACGAAAGCGTAACACGCTGCCCGAATGTTGCTATGCGGTATTTTGGCACATTCCCGGCGAAGCGCTTGCTTGAGGTGTTCGACAATTTGGTATTGTTTTGGGGCCAACCTTGCTTTCCAAAATACTTCAGACACAATAGTCCAACGGATTGGTTTGCGGAGCTTTTGGTGGCCATTATGCGCTGGAAATGAAGCGGGGAACCTCATTTTGTAATCATTCTTGGGTGGCGTGTGCTGAGTGCGATGGTGCTGAGTCCTGTTGGAATGTCCAAGGACTGCGGCCAAAATACTTGCATACCCAAGGCTTGAATACACCCTCCAGAATATTTTCGCGATAATATTCGGCATTTATTCTGATGCTACGGTCGATTAATACGAGGGGAGAGCCGGCCCACACCATCACCATGGTCGGCGCTTGAGTTGTGGTGGCCAACCGAAGGTGCAGATTTTCAGCTGACCTCTTTGGCAAGTAAACACGAACGGATCATTTTGTTTGTTTACAAACTGCTGGACAACTAATGTTTTCTTATCGGAGAAAACAAAATTCGGCATTTCACCACTTTCGGCCAAGCGAAGCAACTCTTTAGCTCTTTTGAGTCCATTTTCTTTCTGTTGCGGTGTAAGTTCTTGCACTTTTTTGGAATTTCAATGGTTCGACCCCGACCCCAAGCTCATTTTTCAATATTTGCCGAATAAAATATTGCGATATGTTCAGCTCACGAGCCATTTTTCGGCCACTTTTTCCACTTCCTTGACGTCGGGCTACCAGACACAAAAGATTTATTTACATTTAAATGCTGGAGTGTTCTAACGATGGTCACTTGTGGGTTTCCCGCCAAATATAAAAAAATCACACTATCACGCTTGAATTCCATCGCGAATAATATTTTTTCTGGAAAATTCTCTCCAAAATGCCTTTATATGCTTGTAAACAATATAATGAGCTGTCACTGGAAAAATTTTAACAGCTGTCGGACGTGGTGGCTTAGAAATGACAGCAGTCTGAAGTTGGTTGCAGTTTTTTCATCTCACCCTGTATGCTCTTTATTGATATTGTAATCATAACAGAGAATCAAAGACACAGACACTAGCGTGCATGAATGGCGGTCCACTCTCTTATAATACCTTATATTATGCTCAGAGAGAAAGAGAGAGTAAATTATTATTTTCTTAAACTTCTCAAATAATTTTCCTTTATTTATTCATTAATTCAGTTATATAACTTATGTATTTTAACATGTTTACATATTTGTTAAATTCTGTTTTAAACATAATTTTTAAACTAATTTCCCTTATTTTGTTCTCTTCACTTTTATACCAGATGACTTGTGGCATATCTTGTGTGGACAAGACGTTAAATAAAACCTTCTTCTACCTGGGTAAATTCATTGCCCGCCATCCAGGATATTTTATTATTGTGCCAATACTATTAACGTTACTATGCATTACGGGGTGAGACAAAATGAAACCACTGAATTTTGAAAATGAATTATTCATAAAAAATATTTCTCTTTTTTCTTTTAGTTATCAACAATTAAAATATCAAATCGATCCAGAATATCTCTTCTCACCCATCAATGGTGAGGGCAAGGCGGAGAGGGCCATAGTTGAACAGTATTTTAAGGTTAATTATACGCATCGCTTCAATGTTGGACGTATCACAAGACCAGGTAAGAAATAATTCTCCACCTCAAAAATAAATTGCGTGTGTGTCAAGTGATCCGCACTTGTCAATCTCTTTAGAATTCCATGCAAATCCCCACAGAAACAAAATGGAAAACATGCCATGCCGTAGGCGTTGACTTTCGTTTTCTATTTTCTTCTCTTCTTTACTTTTTTCGTATATAAACGAGTACTTTATTTTGTGGTTGTTGTTGTTGTTTTTTTGATGTCAGTCCAAAATCATCAACGTCCATTCAATTCCACGCCAGTTCGTTTTTTTTTCTTTTTGAAGTCAAACATGTGGGAATGTGTTTGTTTTCATTCGGGTTCTGTTGCTGTTGCTGTTTCTTTTTTAAATGGAAAATAATAAGAGCGCGATTTAATTCAATTTACTAAACTTAGCTGTAAATTTAAATATGTTTGCACGTACCTACATGTGCTGGCCCACACACACACTCACACCCAGATATATAAACATATGAAGCTATGTTTGTGGCTCTAGAATTATTCTCTCATACGTAGTAGTTTGTTGTGTGCCCTCTGCCATCAGTGTAGCATAGCCCAGCACCATTGGCTTGTGTTCGTTCGGTCATTTTGTGATGTGATGATCTTCTTTAAGATGGCTCAGGGAATGGGGTGGCGCTTGCAAGGCCTTCGGTCAATGGGGGCCTCAAAAATGGCAAATAATAAAAATTTGGTAGAAGAAAAGGGCGGTTATTTAAGACTCTTTGTCAACTTTTTTTCAAAAGTTAGTTGATATTTAATTGAAATCAAAGTGATTGGCCTTAAAATCCCAAAAAAATCGCTAAAAGAGCAATGTTAGGGACTTCCTCTGTTCTCTCTTAAATGATCTCTTTTGAAGTTTTTACTCAGCTCCCACCTATTTATTACTTTCTCTTCTAAACCTTCTGTGGAAACATTAGACACCTCAAAATGCATGCAATGGTATTAATAAGAGTATAGATGCATGAGCGCCAGCCTTTGTCTCTCTTTATCTCTGTCCTGATTAAAATATCAGTGAAAGACATATACGGATAATTTTAAATTATTATATATAAAAATTAGTTGTGGAGCTAATCAGAACTACATTTTAAAATTGTAAAATAATCAATTCGACTCAAGAATTTTTAATAGTCTCTTAAGAATTTGGATAAGAGACTCACTCTCTCAAATGCTAAAGAACTGAAGTGATATTGATTTTCTTCCATTTTTACTAAGAGTAGATACCAAAAAAAGAGATGATACCGTTATTTCAGTACTGGTAACTTATTATACCCTCAGCCATATGGCTACAGAAGGTATATATATAATTTGATACGGCCAAAACGTGCCTCATCGAAATAACGGTTTTAGACCCTACCTCTCTTTGGACCAAATTCGTTTCAGAACATTTGGAGTCTATATAGCGATGTACGTCCGTCTGTCTCTCTGGCTGGCTGGTGCGTACGAGAACTTTCGAAGGCAGTATCCGATTTGATCCAAACTTGGTACATCGTAATTTTATTGTCAAACTTGGATCGAGTTCGGAGATGGGCAATATCGGTCCACTCCCTCTGGTACCTCCCCCTACAAAAGTCAACATTTTCAAAGAAAATAATTTACTGCACAGAAAGAGAAAGGATAATCCGATTATGCTCCAACTTTGCAAAACCTAATATATGTCTCAGTGCTAGGTCAGGGGAGAAAATGAACAATATCGGTCAACTCCATCCCCCATAATTGGTCGAAATTTTGAATTATTATAACTCTCATAAAATGTGAATTAAGAGTCCGATTGTCTTCAAATTTCACGCATCACAATATTTTTATTAAACCAAGGTCTGGTGTGAAGAGGGAATATATCGCTTCACTCCTTCTGGTACCTCCCCCACAAAGGGTCAAAATTTTTAATATCCATGAAGCTCATAAAACGCAAAATGAACATCCGATTCCATTCAGACTTGGTACATCTCAATATTTCTATGAATACAAGAGCTGTTGTAAAGATCTTAGAGATCGAACCATTCCTTCTGGTACCTCCCCCACAAACGGTCAAAGTTTTCAATAACCAAAACGATTATAAAATCCGAAATAATCACCCGGTTCTCTTTATATTTCACAAATCAATATATTTTTAATAAGCCAAGGTCTGGTGTAAATAAGGGGTATATCGGTCTACTCCTTCTGATACCTTCCCCACAAAGGTTCAATTTTGAATATCCACGAAGCTCATAAAACGAGAATTTTACATCCGATTTCATTCAGACTTCTAACATCTAAATATTTCCATCAACACAAGATATTTTATAAAAATGGTAGAGATCAGACCATTTCTTCTGGTACCTCCCCCACAAAGGTTCAAAGTTTTAAATAACCAAAACGATTATAAAATCCGAAATAAGCATCCGATTCTATGCATATTTCACACATCCCATTATTTCTACTATCACAAGATATGCTGTGCAGATCTGTTATAAAGGTGGTAGAGATCGGACCATTTCTTCTGGTACCTCCTCAAAGAAATCGAAATAAGCATCCAACTCTCTTTAAATTTCACACATACAAACATTTTTGCTAACACAAGATCTGTTGTGAAGATGGTATTTGCGAACCCCTTTCTGGTACCTCAAATTATTTGATTTAATGGCGAAAAGTACAAATTTCGCATTCCTTTCTATTCTTTGTCATTCATTGGTGAATATGAATCAGTGAGAGGCAAGAGCCCTCACACATGTTCTCACTGAGAACAATTCTCTGCTCTAAGACATGGGAAGTCTTTGATAATTTATCTTTTTATTGATAATTTATCTCTTGATGAGAAGTCATTGAAAAACAGCGCTGCTCTAAAACAGCGGTGCTCAAAACAGTGTTCTAGAACATGAACCGAAAAAAGAGATAATTTAAGAGAAAGTTAAAATTGTGTTTTTCTTTATATTTTACAGTTTTATTAAATTGTTTATAGACACGAATGTTTGCCAAATTAATTTATAAAGCAAATGGATAAATATTATTTGTATAAATAATGACTTAACACTGTTTTGTTCTTGATTTAAATAAGCAAAGAGAAATTTGACTGAAAAGAGATATTTCTTCTTGAGCACCGCTGCTCTAAAACCAGACCTCTCTCACCAGTTCAATTTCTATTAGATTTTCGAAATTATCAAAAAACAAGTGTTAAAACCTAATTTATACATTTTTTGTAATAATTCGTTTATAAATAATTTTGAACAACATCCATGTTTAAAAACAATTAAAATGAATGAACAAAATATAAAGAAAAATACCATTTTTGTTTTCTCTTAAATAGTCTCTTTTTTGGACTCATGTGCTAGCACACGGTTCTGAGAGTGTTGTTGATAAACCACTGACTCACACAAAAACAAAGACAAGAGAAAATAAAACTTTGTCTCTCAGGCTCACGGTGATATAAATAAAGAGAAAGAGATATACACCTCTCAATTCAATTCCAAAATAAATTTTTTGCAAGAAATAATTAATTTTATTTTATAAATATTCCCTTCCCCACCATAAGGCCCCGATAGTGGGCTCCCATTACCCTCGAATCCCCCTCCCATATTATTTAATTTGCCCATGCGGTTCATTTTGCATTAGAGCAAGAGTCACTGGAAATCTGTGGAAAAAATCCAACGAATCGTCTGGAAGAAACAGCCTCAATCGTTGTTCGTTCGCCTTACAAACTTTTCTTTCTGGGACTTTCTGTTTTCTCCATTGTACGTCACTTAATCAAAACAAAAAAGTTGAGAAAGAAAGAAAAAAATACACACGACGTAATGTAGATGCATAAAATTATCATCATCAGCCGCACATTCGGTAGCACCACTAAGGCAGGTTCAGATTCTTAAGTGGCGGCGCAAAAACCGCTGTATCTGCAAATAGTATTTGTAAAGAAAATCAAATTCAATTGAAAATACCGAGATTTCTTGCTCAAATGACTAACGGCGGATTCTGGGAAAGATTTGGGGGGAAAACTTGAATGGAAACAAAAGGAAGGCAAGGAATTGGGGGGGTGATCATTAAGAAATATTTGGCTGATGAACTAATTCGCCAACAGAAAATCAGATATCACAAGGTTGGCATTTTAATTTCCAATAAAAGCCGACAAAAATTTAGTTCAAATCAAAAAATAAATAAATAAATTTATTTTTGTGTGGGGTCCCATTGAATTTCAAAAAAAAAAAATCGCTACAGCAAATTTTTGTTGATTTCAAGTAAAACAAAAATCTAAAATTTGTTGTTGTATGTTGTGCTCATTGCCGAACATTTGATGTTTTGTGCCATGACCCATCTTATTTACTCACCTTTTTTTCGGTTTTGTGTTGAATTCCCACACCCATTTTTTTTTCTTTTCAAATGGATGGATGGATGGAGTGCATTTTTTCGGTTTTGATTTTTGTCTAATTTTCTTTTTTTTTCGAATTCAATTGAAGCATTTAAAAATGCCATTGGAATGCATGAATGCCAGACCCAAAGCTGAAATCTGGTTGGCCGTATATAATTAAGCGAAGATGACTCATGTAGATTTTGTCACAAGGGTTACGCACCTTAACCCCGCCGCCAGCGACTAGCCGCGTTATTTCTTGGCCTTAACCTATTTTTGAGGTGATCTACTTAAATGTGGTTGACTTAAAGAGAAAAACACCAAAAAAAAAAACAGATGGGGGATGGACGGACAAATTGTTTGCTTGGCTGATTCTTTGGGTCGAGTTCAAAGTTAGTTTTTTGTGTTGTTTTTATCTTAGTTAAGATTTTAGAGTTTTTAGGTAAAATTACTTAGAAAAATTAGTTAAGACTAAATCTTCCGCATAAATGTTGCAGGGTTCGCTTGATGTCTACCTTCCAGGAAAAGTGATTGAAAATCCCAGAATTCAGGTTCAAAACATATCTCCCGATCCAAGAAAGATAATGATACCGAATCCAGCATTTTGGAAATGTCATAGTGTCAGCTGTAATTTGGCTTATATTTCGTGGGCTACTAAAATGAAGCATTTTTCGACTTTTGGGGGATTTTCGAAAAAAACCGTTTCCAAAACATCGATAATTTTTGCCACAACACCAGAATGTCCCACGATGTGACCAATTGGATAGGTATTTTCATTAGCTTTCAAATGATACCCATATTGTACATATCGGTTTTGTAGATCCGGGTCTAACCCGGGTCTTGGAACCGGATTTTCAGTCAAATATCCGGGTATTCGAATTTCATGGACTCCTAAAATAGAGCCTTTTCGACTTTTTGGGATTTTCGAAAAAATCCGGTTAAAAAAACATCGATAATTTTGCCACAACACCCGAATCGTTTTAAATAACCCCATTTTTTGACAAATTTGAAAGGTATTATTATTAGCTTTCAAATGATACCTATATTGCCGATATCGGTTTAGTATATCCGAATCTAACCCGGGTCTTAGAACCGGATTTTTAGTTCAAATATCCGGGTATTCAAACCCGTCTCCCAAGAAATAAAATACTTTTCCAAAATCAGAATGCGAATAACTACCTTTGGAAAAAATTTTGAAAAAATCCGAGAGATTTTACTAAACTAGCGTTGAGACATAAAATCGAATTAAAATAAGCAAGTTCATGGCTCTCCGGTTGAAAACAAAATAGAAATAATTTAAATAACCCCATCGTGTGACTCCTTAGATAGGCATTTTCATTAGCTTTCTAATAATACCAATATTGTCCATATCGGTTGAGGACATCCTGGTTTTAACCCTGGTTTTGGAACCGAATTTTCGGGTAAAATATCCGAGTATTTGATCCCTTCCCCCAAGAAAAAACTATTTTCTCGAAATGAGGGTACAAATACCTCTGGAATATTTTGATAAAAAACTGTTCTTGAACCCGGATTTTTGGGTCAAATATCCGGCTCAAATATCCGAAATCAGGGTACAAATACCTCTGGAATATTTTGATAAAAAACGGTTCTTGAACCCGGATTTTTGGGTCAAATATCCGGGTATCGGAATCCGTTCCCCGAAAATTCCCGGAATGCGGGTAATAAAAATTAGCTCTGTAAAAATTCAAAGAAAAAATCCGTTTCTTGGACTCGGATTTTCGGGTCAAATATTTGGTTATCCGAATCAGTCACCAAAGAAAAAAAACTTTCTCGGAATCAAAGTACGAGGTACAAAGTACCTCGGGAAAAATTTAAAAAAGAGAGATTTTACTAAACCAGAGTTAAGTCATAAAAATGATTTCCATTTGAAATATTCGTCATTTAAATAAGCAAGTTCGGTGTTCTCAATATCAAGGATAACTTCCTTAAGAGACCAAAAAGTTTCAACGTCCACACTGCGTATGAATGTTGTCAGCACGTATACGCTTACCCAGTAAAGCCGGAAAGTAGAATACAAATTACACAGAACTGTGTCTACATCAGGAATGCATCATTTAAATCGAGATTACAATGACCAGGTACCCCGCAAAGCCGGACAGTAGTGTAAGTAGTGTATAGTTTTCCCAGAACCGTTCTCTACCTCAGGACTGAATCAGAATTGATTGTAGAAGATTCAATAGCTTTAAGAGCCGACTGAGTGTCCACATAAGTAGTCGCCGGCTTAGCTATATCATTCTCCATAGCTTCAATTAATTTTGATGTTTTCCCGTTGGCAAAGATCTCTGCTTGAAAAAAATCCTCCAACTTGTAAGAGTAGGCCATTCCTCGGTTGCTCACAGAAGAGTCCGGCTCCCGTGCATTATTCAATCTTTGATCCTTTTGTATTTATAAGCAGACTGATTAGAGACAGGTTGGCTCCGGACCATTTATGCCTGCATGGAATCGGAATCTCAAGTATGTCAAACCTCATGGTTGAAGATATTTAATCGCTGTTCCATTTGTTACGTTTGAAGTTTACTTCGGCTCTTTGATTTTTTGTTTGGCTTCAGAAGAGAGTTTTGAGGACACTTCATAGAGCCCCGGGTGAATCATGTGAATTGTACCAATTCTGTCTTTGTTGGATTGAGAGAACGCAGAAAATACTTGGCTTTGCCTTCGAAGCATTTATATTTTGTAGATAAAAAAACGCTTATCTCTTGACATATTTTGCTCCTTTATAACAACAACAAAAATCGCGGCACATACCTCCAAAGAAAATGCAATGCAATTCAATTGTTTTGTTGTTTTTCTTTTTCTTTTTGTTTTTTTTTTTTTTTTTTTTTTTTTTTTTTGATGAGGGTGTCTCTGACGATAGTTCATTAGATTTATTACCCTGAGGATGTTTCTTTTTTGTGTTGTTGGCGACAATTGAGAAGATAAAAGCGCAATATATTTTTATGATTATTTGTTTATTTCGCTGTTGTTGTTGTTGTCTTTATTCCTAACTCAAAACGAAACAAAAAAAGTAATTGAACAAAAAGCATGCAACTTAATATGAGGGAAAAATTGCAAAAAAAATTCAAAAAATTAATACATTTATATGGGCAAAGGGGTAAGCCGTTTATGCGCCAAAACGTATGGTCACGTAGCAAAAATCAACGGTTACCAAAAACAAAATTACTCACTCCGCATTCAAGCCATGCAAAAATGTTCGAAACAATACACTGGGTAACAGATTTGCTATCATTTTTTTAACTGAGAAAGTATTGGAGAGTCAAGCATAGTGAGAGAAAGGACCAAAATGATAGAAAACAATTGTGAATAAGAGAGTAATTAGAACACGTTAAAAAGTATCAGTGGGTTTCGCCGACAGATGTATTAAAGCAGCGCTGCTCAAGAAGAAATATCTCTTTTCAGTCAAATTTCTCTTTGCTTATTTAAATCAAGAACAAAACAGTGTTAGGTCATTATTTATACAAATATTTTTTACCCATTTGCTTTATAAATTATTTTGGCAAACATTCATGTTCAAAACAATTAAATGGAATCGGAAAATATAAAGAAAAATATAATTTTTATTTTCTCTTAAATTTTCTTTTCATTTGGCTCATGTTCTAGAACACGGCTTTGAGCGGGACTGATTAAAGCAACGCTGCTCAAAAACTAGACCTCGCTCACCAGTCTCTTAATTCTTCTATCATCAAAAAACAGTATTAAAATATAATTTAAAAAATTGTTTGTAATAATTCGCTTTATTAATAACTTTGGACAACCTCCAAGTTTAAAAACAATTGAAATGAATGGATAAATAAAAAGGAAAATGCAATTTTTGTTTTCTCTTAAATAATCTCTTGCACACGGTTTTGAGCAGTGCTGATTAAAGTCTAACCATAGACAAATAAAGGTATAGACTAAAAAGTTGTCTCATCTGTTATCTCTGAAAAAAGTGCTTCCATAGATGTCGTTCATGCTGTGAGAGAGGTTCAGTAGACTCACTCAATTCTCTCAAAATACAAAATATTAAATATTTTTACGATTCTTTATTATTTATCAATTAAAAACAAAACATCGACTTTGTTTACTTTTACATTATCCAAATATGTCGTGAAATATAAAAATATAGAACTTAAATAGCAGAAAAGTTAACAAATTGTTTTCGAAGTCGAGTGCTTCACTGGCCCTGAGTGACTTGACTGGCCCAAGATCAACCATAGTGACATCTGCCGGAAGGGTAAATTTTAAAACTTTTTAGTCTATACCTTTATTTGTCTATGCCAGCACACTGTTTTGAGCCGTGCTAAAAATTCTCTGTCTCTCTCTCAGCAATTTAACTGTGAATAATGAGAAGGAGACCAAATGTAAGAGAAATTAAAAACAAAACATGCCAAAGACATTAAATGGTAAAGACTAGACAAAATGCATTCTGAGCAAAAGGTTTGTGGCTATACTACCTTGAATAACAGCTCATGACAGAGGCATGTTAATATAAAAAACACAATTATAGGAAAGAATGACAAATAAAAATTTGAATAATCCAAAATATTGGTTTCAAAGTTCTATTCCATATACCTTCCAAATAATTGCATACTGTCTTAGCGGTTTAAATTTCTTAACATTGGTAACTATGTTGTTACGATATCATAACAACAGAGGCATTTTTCACAGGGTTGCCATATTTTACTCTGTCTTGTCCTATCTTTACACTTCTATGTCTTTGAACATGCATTGATTAGGGATCAATAGATCGTTTTTCTATGAAGACGACTTCTTGTCGTTTCAAAAGTTTGATATATGTTTTTTTTGTTGCCAAGTGTTTTTCTTTTCAATTATTTTATTGGCCTACGTGCATAAATCTTTAAATTTTGCTATTGAACTCTTAATGTTTATTTTTTCCTATTTTAACATTTTGTGCCATTTGTTTTTTGTTATAGGACGTTTTGGTCGGGTAATTGTCATACCAAAAGATGGCAATGACAATATGATACGACGCGAGATCTTCAAGGAGTTACGTCAATTGGACAACATCATACAGAATGCAACGGTGACATATGACGGCGAGACGTTCACGTACAAGGATGCCTGTGCCCGGTGGGAGAATGAGTGCTTCGAAAATGATATTTTGAATTTGGATTACATTATGGATGATGTAAGTTGAGAGGGAGAGGAGAGAGAGAACTTTTAATGAATTGTAATTAATGTGTTATTGCAGATCGAATCTGGTGAATTGAATTTAACCTTTCCCCTGATGTTCAATCCCGTCACATGGGATGCCCATGCCTTTCCGGTATTTTTTGGTGGTACCAAAATCACCGAGGACAATATTATCATCAGTGTGCCAGCGATACAATTGGTGTATTTTGTGACAGCGGATACCAAACGGCAAGATGAAAAGTGAGTATGCGAAGTTTCACTTGAGGTCCGATTACACATTATATTAGAGTCATATGTACTTTTTCATATTTTAATTTTTTATAGCATACTTTAAGGAGTAACCAAAAAATTTTAAAGGATGAAGTAACGTTACACTATATAAACTATATACCATACATTAATATAAAACACTTACATTTTATTTATAAAATACTTATAGTATTATCATCTTAATTTATAAAGGGTTTTTTGTGGAAGCCCCCTAAATTATGCTAGAAAAAAATGTAAAATAATTTTTTCACACAATTATCAGTTGATTTTTTTCAAATTTATTTGAAATTGTGAGAGCGCCTTAAAGTATGCTATAAAATGCAACTGATTATTGTGGAAAAAAGGCAATTTACATATGTCTCTAACATGCTGTGTAATCGGACCTTTATCTTTATCTCTTTCATGATTTATTTAACAAAAATTAAAGATAAACATATCCTGATCAAGGCCTTCTATGAACTTTCTTCAAATCAGTACTGACTAATCCCACTATCTCTTCATTTTCCTTTTTTGCAGAGGTGCCGAATGGGAAGAAACATTTTTGCGTGTGGTAGGTGATGCCGAAAACACAGGGCTTTTCAAACACATATCGGTGGCCTATTTTGCCTCCAGGACCCTGGATCATGAGTTGGAAAAGAATACACAAACTGTGGTGCCCTACTTTAGTTCCACCTTCATTTTGATGGCCTTGTTCAGTGTCATAACCTGTATGATGGGTGATGCGGTGCGTTCCAAACCCTTTCTGGGTCTGATGGGTAATATTTCAGCTGTTATGGCCACTTGTGCTGCGTTCGGTTTGGCCATGTATTTGGGTATTGAATTTATTGGCATTAATTTGGCGGCTCCATTTTTGATGATTGGTGAGCATTTTTTTGAATTCCCAGGAGTTTTTATAATTTTTAATGAAAATCTTTCTCTTCTTCTTCTTAGGTATTGGCATTGATGACACCTTCGTTATGTTGGCGGCCTGGCGTCGGACCTCTTTGAAAATGTCCGTACCCGAGCGCATGGGCCACATGATGTCTGAGGCTGCGGTGTCCATTACCATTACCTCTTTGACCGATTTGATTTCCTTTTGGATTGGTGTCATCAGCCCTTTCCGGTCAGTGCAAATCTTTTGCAAATATTCCGTTTTGGCAGTGGGTTTCACATTCCTGTGGCATGTTACCTTCTTTGCCGCCTGCATGGCCATATCGGGTTATAGAGAGCAACAAAATCGTCATGCTGTATTCGGTTGCAAGGTCCAGCCTCTATCGGTGGCCATAAAAGGTAAGTTTTGGAGCCATTCTGCCATGAAACATTTCTAATTTGTTGGTGATTTCTTTCAGAAAAACGCAACATTTTCTATCGAGCCATCATGTCGGGTGGCATTAATCGCCAGGACCCCGACAATCCCACCGACAACAAGGACCATATTCTAATGAAATTTTTCCGTGACAATCTCTCGGCCATCATCAACAACAACTGGTGCAAATTCTTGATTATTTTGATCTTTGGTGCCTATTTGGCTGGTGCCTGCTATGGCATTACCCAAATCAAGGAGGGCCTGGAACGACGCAAGCTATCACGTTCAGATTCTTATTCAGTAGAATTTTTCGATCGTGAAGATGATTATTATCGGGAATTTCCATATCGCATGCAGGTAAGATTTGGAGAGGATAGATTTTTTACAAGTTCAATATTCAAAAAGTTAAAACAATATTGATTCAATTTAGGAGCACGATTTTAAGTTTTTGAGGGGAGAAGTAAGGGTAAAGATAGATAAGAAGCTTGGCATCATTGCAGGACATATTTGCTAACATAATAAAAGTGTGTCAGAGCCTCACACGAAATCTGCCGTAGTTTTCCCTTATGATATGACATTAATATACCATGTCATGATGCCAAGCTGCTCATTTTAATACCAGGAATTTCCTTTTGGTTTCAAAGACAAAAATGTTCCTCAGAACACTCTTCACAAAATATCCTACAACATTTTCCATGAAAATTGTATAGTTTTCGAGATACATTACCTTCAATCTGGCAAGTTCTAGTTTTGCCAACCTTGTTTCCTTATAGTTTCTGTGAGAGAAGTTAATTTTTAGATCATACAACTCGATCAAACATGTTGGATGTAAATGTAGGAATTAAAGAGGGCATTCCAATGGACATTTTTCTCTTTAAGAAACACCACATTTCAAATATATAGACTAATACAAATACATAAGTTTCTTCATAACATTAAGGGAGGTATAAATATATGACCTCCATAGCCCCCTTATACATGTTAGATGTCAAAGTAAGAATTTAAGATGGCATTCTAGTTAGCATTTTTTGCCTTTAGAGAAAGACTCTCACTTGCATAGATTCTCCTTTAGATGCTCTTCAATATAAAGAGGCTCTTAAAATCCCAAAATGCATAATTTCTTTGATAAAACTAAATTAGTATTAAATAGACGCTGAACACATTGGAAATTGGTAATACTCCCAAGGAGAAAAATGTCCTTTAGGACAGGATACTAAAGGCTTCCTCACAGCATTTTAAGGAAGGACCTATATATATGGAGATATGACGCACCCAACCTTTCACCCATACCATTTTATGAGGACTAAGTGTAATGTCCGTTTTTGACCTATAAAACTTGATCATACATGTTCGCTGTCAAGGTATGAAATACAGTTGATCCTTGTAGGAATATTTTTCTCTTTGAAGGACATCGTATGTCTCGTATCCTTTTTTGTCAAAAACCTCCCTGAAACATAAAAGTAATATTTCCAAACTTCTATCGAGGTAAATGTCAAAATTATCATTGACAGAGTTGCAATTTGGGACAGTTATTAAAGACAACAATCTTCCTCAGGGTCAAATACTAAAGGTCTTCTTCCAGAACTTCTTCACTATGTTAATACTTTTCGTGGTACGGTAGATTTTTCTAACTATGAACTTTTATCAAAAAAGTAGGGACAAGTTGATATTAGAAGCATTTTTGAAGACTTTGACTACGTCATACAAGTATGATGTAAAGGCATGAAACAAAGTCAACCCTTCTACAAATATTTTTCTCTTCGGAGGACATGATGTGTCGTATGTCCTTCTTGTCAAAACCACCCTTGCAACATAAGAGTTGTGTTTCAACATATTTCTAAAAAGAAAAAGTATTAAAAAAGTTTTTCAAACTCTTTTTCTGAGTCATTAAATTTGATCATACATGTTCGATGTAAAGGCATGAAACAAAGTAGACCCTTGGATAAATGTTTTTCTCTTTAGAGGACATCATGTGTCTCATGTCGTTTTAGCAAAAACGTCCTTCAAACTTAAAAGTTGTGTTTTAAATATTAAAATGGTTTCTACAATTAAGTTTGATCAAACATGTTCGTTGTTAAAGTACGAAAAACTACTACTATTCTATATATTATACTATTCTCCTGGTCTATCATCTTATTTTAATTAAAAAAATTAATCCACTTCTAAAATCTCCCTCTTTTTCCCCCAGGTCATCATAACGGGCGACATCAACTACTCCGATCCCATTATCCAAGACGAAATCGAAGAATTAACACGAAATCTGGAAAATACCTCGTATGTCACCTCCTCCCTCTATACCGAATCATGGATACGCTCCTTCCTATCCTTCGTGGATCGTAACAATGACTATTTGAATCTGACTCTGGACACGGAACAGGAATTCATTGAAGCTGTCAAGGAACATTGGCTCTTCCCGGGAAATCCTTTCTCCTTGGATGTGAAATTCAATGAAAATGGCACCAAGATTCTAGCCTCCCGCTTCCTCATACAAGCTGTAAATATTACGGATACCAATCATGAAAAGGTTATGGTTCGTGATTTGCGACAAATTTGCAAAGACTCACCGCTGAATGCCACCATTTTCCATCCGTACTTTGTGTTCTTCGATCAATTCGAATTGGTGCGACCCACCTCCATTCAGTCCATGATTATTGGTGCCATTATCATGATGATCATCTCGTTTATTTTTATACCAAATATTTTGTGCTCCCTGTGGGTGGCCTTCTCTGTGATATCCATTGAAATGGGCGTGGCTGGCTATATGGCCTTGTGGGATGTGAATTTGGATTCGATTTCCATGATTAACCTGATCATGTGCATTGGCTTCTCGGTGGACTTTACGGCCCACATTTGCTACACGTATATGTCGTCGAAGAAGAAGAGTCCCAAGGCCAGGGTACGTGAGGCCTTCCATTCGTTGGGTCTGCCAATTATACAAGGTTCAAGTTCGACGATTTTGGGTATTGTGGCCTTGTTGCTGGCCCAGAGCTATATTTTCTTGGTGTTCTTTAAAATGGTGTTCCTGGTTATTTTCTTTGGTGCCATGCATGGTTTGTTCTTGTTGCCGGTGTTGTTGTCACTGTTCGGACCCGGCTCCTGGCAGACATGGACAGGAAGGGACAAGGGCAATGAGGATGAAATCGATGAAATTGATGGCAAAATTAAGCTGGCCAAGATGGATAAGAACTTTGCCAATGCCTTTTATTTGCCCTATGCCTCCAATGTGGCTGGTGTGAATGGTTTTACATCCAAGGGCTTCTTGGGAGCTCCTTACAAGGCCTATGGAGATGAAAAAGATTTGGGTATTGGCACATCGGGAGAAGATTCCTCGGAGAGTAGCTCATCTAGATCTCAAAGGCGCCAGGCATTGGAAGATGAAACAACCCAAAGACGCTATGAGGAAGGATGGAGAAAATCCTCCTATCATGATTTGTTTGCCAACAGCACCCCAGCCCAGTTTGCTGCCCACCCGGCCCTGTACAATCAAAAGGTTACAGCCCATGAATGGCGTACCCGCCTGGAGGAGCATCAAGAACGTAAACGCCAGCCAAATGGAGAACGTTATGCCTATGATAATTATGGAGCTGATTTGCAAAGACGCCATGGCGAATTCGTGGACGACGAAGAGGTGGAGCCAAGACGCCATTTTACCCCTACCTCATCGTTGGATGAACGTTCACGACGTAAATATCGTTCAGCCTTGCCACGTGTGAGTGCCGGGGGTGCTGGCGGCAGTGGTGATGAGGCCAACTATCATCAACAAGAACCGTCACAACTTGCCACCGCCTCAGCCAAGCGTTATCAACGACGACGTTCCTCCGACGAATCGACTCGACATTTCCAACGTTGGCCCACGTCCAATATAGAAGAGAGATTTATGCGTCGCCATTCACCCTCCCGCAATCATAGCCATGAAGATGGTGATTATCCCGCCAATTATCGTCCAGAGCCACCCAGACGTTCCTCGTCCCATCACAATCTCTACTATCCCAATGGCCAAAGTAAAACATCGCAGCAACAACAACAGCCACCAAAATATCAGTTTGGCTATAACCACTGATATTTTAGAGTAGGTAAAAACGTCTAGGGTCATCATTTCGCCCCAAGGAGTGAAAATGTGTTTTTTTTAATTTCGTTTAGGAATGCCACATAAGATGTGGCGTTAGGATTTTGTCAACTATTACAAAATATTATTTTATTTTAAATGTAATGTAATTAATTTTGTTAAATTAATTAATTTTTTTTAGGAGACTTTTTTATATATATATGCAATGCCTATTGTAAATTGATATGATATGATTTGAGCCAGGATCAAGGAAACCTTTAGGAAAACCAAGCAACAAAAAAAGCAAAAACTAAACAAAATATGTAATATTAGTTAATAATTTCTTTAGATTTTAAGTTTAGGAAAAACGCACATTAAAAAATGAAGAAAGGTAAAGGGCCAGGGGATAGATTTCGGGCGAGTCCAGAAAGTTTCTTCAAGATTTGTCTTGAGCAATTAAAAGGAGAAGGTTTAATTAAAGAGAAACAGAGTTTTTGAGTAGGAGAAATAAAGAAAGAGCACGACAAATCAAATATCTCTTTCCATAGATAGACAAGTATGCACGCTAGCGTTGCTCTCTTTTATACTCTTCATGAGTATGACATCAACAAACAGACATACTCGAATAATTTTCTACAATTGTTTTTATAAAATTTTTTTTTTGCTTCTTTTTTTATATTTTTGCTTAAAAATTATTAAATTAATTGAAATTCAACGCAGAAAAGTTATTTCAAAATTCTCTTAAGAATGTCTCTTTCATATATTGCCCATCTATGCTCTTTCTATCTTTTTTATCATCACTCTGTTTTCCCCTGTGTACAAAAATATTCATTTTGGCCTCTCCTCAAAGGTTCTCAAATGTGTTCTCCTCCTTTTAATGGCGGCCACTGAGTAATTCAACAAATCTCTCTCATCGAAAGAGAAACATGCGAATGTTTATATAAGAAAATTGCCTTTAGAAATAACGTAACATTACTTAGGCCGTCAAAATCGTCAATTAGTCTTGTTATATAAATGAGACACAGAAGGAACACTATATATAAATTTTTCTTTCTCCTTTTTATCATAACATTCAGTTTTCCCCTCTTTGAACAATGTTTACTTCAGGCTCTCCACAAACAAAGACTCCCAAATGTGTTCTCTCTCTCTTCCTTTTATAACTGCTACTGAGTAATTCAACAAATCTCTCTCATCGGAAGATAAATATTTGAATAATTCATAAAGGAGATTGCCGTTAGGAATAGCTGACAAGCACATTATTATACCAGGTTCACACATATGGAATTTTTAATGCATGGTATGTTAAGCAGTCTGGGTACACTTCAAATCGGCTATTCAAATGTGGAATTAAACTATATTTTTGAATATTTAAAAATTGATCACTTCAAGAAACATATGGAAAAGAACCATGAACGTTTGAAAACATTGATATGTCAATTTTTTTTGATGATTTTTCAAAAATAAGTAAATTTTTATATATTTTCTTATACGACGCTATCAGAGGTTACTAAGATATGTATTTTTATTCTTTTTTACAAATTTAAATAATTTTTCATTCAAAATTTTCAATTCCAAAATGGATTTGACAGTCCATTGTCCCATCAGCTGTGCCGATGCGACTACCTGTATTCTTCTACCATGGAGAACAACGTTAAATCAACTACGGATTATAGTGCCCTAACTAAAACTCGGTTTACATGGTAGAAGACAACAGGTGGTAGCATCGACGCAGCTGCTGAGACAATGAACTGTCAAACCAATTTTGAAATTAAAACGTTAAATGAAAAGTTATTCAAATTTGTAGAAATTGTTGAAATATGCATATCATAACAACCTCCGATTGATATCATACAAGAACCCTTATAAAAATCTACTAATTTTTGAAAAAAACGTTTTTAAAATTTTGACATATCCATAATCCCAAGCTTTTATGCACCTACCCGTATTCTTCTACCATGAGCTCTCCCCAAAGCAAATGTTCTCAAATGTGCTCTCCCCATTTATAATGGAAATTCAATGAGTAATTCAACAAATCTCTCATCGAAAGAGAAATATTTGAATAATTCAATAGGGAAAATACGGTTTGGAATAGCTGACTAGCACATTATTATACCAGGTTCACACATATGGCATTTTTAATGCATGTTATGTTAAGCAGCCAGGAAACACTACAAATCAGCTACTAAAATTACATATTTTCATTGAACCAATGTGATATTGGTTTAGGTTTAAATCTTTGAAGACTCGAAATAGGAAATAGATTTTGGCCAAGCCAATGCTATTTCAAACAAAAAAAAAAAAATCCAAACATCCCCTGGCCTATTATTATCATTTAGAAAACATATTCTAAAAATAGTTTAAATTTGAAAATTTATTTATAAAAAAAACTAAATTTTAGTCTATATATATTTAATGTTTTATATAAATATTATTTTATAACCATTTACTTTTTTTAATTTGGTAAGAGCGAATAGATTTTAATTCTCTTAGGGAATTTCAAGCTATTTTCAGTCATTTTCCTGTCGTTTCCTTTTTATTTTGAAAAATAAATTTCCCATGTTTTCCATTTTCCCTTGTAGATATTTCAAAACAGAATTCGTGAGTGTGTTCAGTAATATTTTTTCTGAAGCGAAAAAATATTATGTGATCTAAAACAAATTGGGTTTCTTTCATTCCTCTGCAAAAAAAAAATTAGTAGACGTAAATTTATAAAATTAGAAATGTATTTTAAATTTTAGTAAAAACAAAAACAAAATAAATACTCATGCATACATTTTCCCCCAAAATATTTAAGCATAAACAAAAAAAATCAATTTCCATTAAATTTTTTCGGTATTAGAATTAAATAAAAAAAAATAAATAATTTTTTTAAATGTATATTTGCAAATAAATACAAAAAAAGAACAGATAAAAAGCATCACAAGAAAATAGTCATTAATTTTAATAAAAAAAAGAAGTATAATGCAACAAGTGAGACTCCGTGTAAACAGGGGTTTAGTAAAACCCAGCTGTCATCACCAGCTGGATTCTTGTTCTGTGAAAACCTGTGGAGGCATTATCTCATTCATTTTTTTGAATTACGATTAAATGTTGGTAAAATTAAAATGCAAAATCAAGAATGGAAAATCGAAATAAAAGTTGACAGCAATATAGCTATTGGTAGGACTTAAGGTGAGAATACATAAAACGTTTTTTAATGGCCCGGCTTCTTCGGCAAAGAACAAATGAGCGTGGGGCCAAAATCGAACTAGGTCAACCTAAAACTGATTTGTTCATCTACGATGATGCCAGCTGATGACTTCAGTCAGCCAAAAAAGCGTTTTATGTATTTTCACCTTTAGCGATTACTAAGTTTCGGTTGCTAAAGTGCCGAAAATTTTGGGTAACTACCAAAATTGAGAGCATTTTTATTTTATCGATTTTTTGTTTGTAATTCAAAAACAAAAAGGAGTTAAGGTGAGAACACATAAAAGGTTTTTTTTTGACAGGCTTGAAGGTGAAATTACATAAAAAATTTCTTTGATGGGCATATGTCATCGGCAGGCTTTTTCATAGAGGAACAAAGGAGTTTTGGCTTGACTTAGTTCGATTTTGGACCTAGGCCCCTTTGTTCCTTTCCGAAACCAGCCAACAGATGACTTAAGCCAGTCAGAAAAACGATTTATGTATTCTCACCTTAAGTCATCTGCTGGCTTCTTTGTAGAGGCACTAAGGAGTTTTAGGGTGGAAATACATAAAGCGCATATTTGGCTGGCTTTAGTCATCGACAGGCTTCTTCGTAGCTGAACAAAGGAGTTTTAGGTTGACTTAGTTCGATTTTGGCCCTAGGCTCCTTTGTTCATTTCCGAAGAAGCCAGCTGATGACTTAAGCCAGCCAAATATGCGCTTTATGTATTTCCATCCTAGCGCTTTACGTATTCCGCCCTTTAGGTTGAATTAATTCGAGTTTGGCCCGATACTCCTTTGTTCTTTTCCTAAGAAGCCAGTCGATGACCTCAGCCAGTCAGAAAAGCGTTTTATGTATGCTCATGTATTCTCTGTTCCAAAACTGCAAGAATATAAACGTAGGAATGTAAGATAACCGGTATTCCGTTTATGAACTCGGCAAAAATAGTACATTCTGCAATAGACGGATAATTTCACTACAGAAATGAAAAAAATTCTTTTTGAAGTTTTTCATTTGACATTTTTTTTTAAGTTTTCCCATGTCCGTAGAAGTAGAATTGAGCCCCAGGCCACATTTTGGCTTGAGTTTTTATGTTGTCCGGTCGCTTTTTAGGAGGAGAAAACAAATTCGTAAAGGTGAGAGTACAAAAGAAGCTTTTCCGACTGGCTCCTTTGTAGAGGAAAAAAGCAAAGACATAGAAGTGTAAAGATAGGACAAGACAGAGTAAAATATGGCAACCCTGTGAAAAATGATTCTGTTGTTATGATATCGTAACAACATAGTTACCAATGTTAAGCAATTTAAACCGCTATTGCAGTATGCAATTATTTGGGAAGGTATATGGAATAGAGCTTTGAAACAAATATTTTGGATTATCCAAATTTTTATTTGTCATTCTTTCCTATAATTGTGTTTTTTATATTAACTTGCCTCTGTCATGAGCTGTTATGCAAGGTAGTATAGCCACAAACCATTTGTTCAGAATGCATTTTGTCTAGTCTTTACCATTTTAGGTCTTTGAAAAAAGGAGTTTTAGGTTGACTTAGTTCGATTTTGACCCTATATTCCTTTGTTTTTTTTTTTTTTCGAAGAAGCCAGCCCATGGTAGAAGAATATAGGTAGATACATCCACACTTGGGAGCATTGATATGTCAATTTTTTTTTAATGTTATATCAAAAATAAGTGTATTTTTAAATGTTTTCTTATACGACGTTAATTTGTTGTTAAAATATGCATTTATCAACAATTTTTACAAATTTCAATAATTTTTCATTCAACATCTTCAATTCCAAAATCGGTTCATTGTCCCAGCAGCTTTGTCGATGCGACTCCCTGTATTCTTCTACCATGAGCCAGCCATTCACAAAAACGTTTTATGTATTCTCACCTCAATTATTGTCAAATAATTACATTATGTGGCCTGCCAACACATCAAACTGACCATCTTTAATTAATTTTTGTAATTTTTTTAAACTTAAGGTAATCTCTTCTTTGTATTGTGAAACGTATTATTTTACTAAGATTTATTTTAAATATTATCTTGGCTTTAATTACGCTTTATTTTAATTTAAACATAGAGGAAAAAAAACAGCAACGACTATATTTCGCCCCCTACGATTTTGTGTAATAAAGAAGTTTTTTTGTAAACTATAAAAAAATTAAAAAAAAAAAAAACAAATGTCTTTTATTTTATTAATTTTTCCAAATTAAGAATTTTATTTCTCAAAAAAATGTTGGATTCTTTTAAAATTGATTATAGGTATAACGGCAAGAACCCTTAGCACCACAGGCGGGTTCGGTGGCTCGGGAACAGATGAAAAACTGTTCCGAGGTACAACTGCTCGATGTCCATTCAAATTTGTTATTTGTCGAGACACAATGATTGCGATTGTTGGCGTTGGTGGGTGGTTGACCTTTGGTCCATTGGGTGTAGTTGAAATTTGCACCACTTGACAGCCAGGTGTATTGTCGATGGGCAGCCAGGTCAGAGCCTGATATCCAAAAGCCAGCGTTGTCTATGTCTAAGGGTGAAAGGGAGAATGAGAGAGAATTTGAATTGGGAATTTAAAATATAATGACAAATGCATAATGACGCTTTTACACCATGTGATCCCTGATCAGCTGATTACAGGCACTATTGTGAATGAAAGCATAGAATAAAGATAAACAAATAGAAAATAAAGAGTAAACAATTTTTTTAGATTTTTATTATTGCCACTTGAATACCTAGTTATGTCAAAATCACTACTGTTTTGCCTAAATGCTTTGATGTCATTCACAGTTACTCAGTTTTGACATTTAGAGCTGATCCGTAGGAGCCATGAAATTTCTTGATAACATACGGCAGCTTAGGGAAACGTGTACCCATGGTAAAATTAAGAAGATCAAGTCATTTCAAATAAGCATTCCCAACTCTGCCTTTTTTTGTAATTTACCTTGTCAAATTTCACTGCATAGAAAACAGGTTCCCATCTCTGATTTGTTTATGTATTATTTACATTTATAAATACCCATATTGACAATGAGATGTCAAATGAATAATTTTGAAAAAATTGTAAACATATGATTGCATGACTTTACCTTCTTGATTCTGCCATGCGCCTACCCTAAGGTGAGAATACATAAAACGCTTTTTTGACTGGCTTAAGTCATCGACTGGCTTCTTCGAAAAAGAACAGATGAGCGTAGGGCCAACATCGAACTAAGTCAACCTATAACTCTATTTTTCCTCTACGAAGAAGCCATCTGATGACTTAAGCCGGTCAAAATAGCGTTTTAGGCTTTTGAGTTTGTATGGCAACGCCATGGTAGAAGTATCAAGGTAGATGCATCAACGCTGATATGTCAACACTTTTTAAAATATTTTTGTTTTTCAAAAATTAGTAGATTTTTATAAGTTTTCTTCTACGACGCCAATCGAAGGTTGTTATGCATTCTTTAACAATTTTTGCAAATTTAATTAATTTTTCAATTTCAAAATTGGTTTGACAGTTCATTGTCCCAGCAGCTGTGTCGATGCGCCAGCTGTATTCTTCTACCATGGGAAACGTCTACCCTGGGCTTTTGAATTCGTATGGCAACACCATGGTGACATTTATATGTCAAAATTTTTAAATGTTTTTTTTTTTCAAAAATTGGCAGATTTTTATACGTTTTCTTAAAGGACGTCAATCGGAGGTTATTATAATATGTGTTTTTCAACAATTTTTACAAATTTGAAAAATTTTTTCATTAAAAATTTAGAATCGCAAAATTTTTTGACAGCTTCTTGTACCAGCAGCTGTATTGATGCGCCTACCTGAACTATTTTATCATGTGTCTACCCTAGACTTTTGAATATGAATATGGCAACACCAAGGTAGAAGAATTCAGGTAGATGCATGTACGCTGATATGTCAACATTTTTAAAATATTTTTTTTAAAAAAATTAGTAGATTTTTATAAGTTTTCTTATACGACACCAATCGGAGGTTGTTACGATATGCATTTTTCAATAAATTTTACAAATTTGATTAACTTTTTATTCAAAATTAGTTTGACAGTTCATTTTCGCAGCAGCTGTTTTGATGCGACTACCTTCTTTATTCTTCTACCATGGACATTACGATTTTCATATAATTGATCTTTTAAGGTGAATGTACATAAAATGCTTTTTTGACCGGCTTAAGTCATCGGCTGGCTACTTCGTAGAGGAACAAAGGAGTTTTAGATTGGCTTGGTTAGACTTTGGGCCCCTAGGCTCCTTTGTTCTTTTCCGAAGAAATCAGCCGATAATTTCAATAGAAACAAGACTCCTTGAGCAGTTTCATTGTGATTCTGTTCTGAAGCCTTGAATTGAGCAGCAGCTTCTCTACTCACAATTTGCAAACAAATAATTGCCTAAATTTTCATTCTCCGCCTCAGATTCGATAGCAGTCAGTGACATTCCACGGGCGGCACAAATATAATTGGCTTGGAACCAGTTCACCTGAAAAAATATGAGAAATTGTTGTCAAAATTTCAAAAATGGTATCAGAATAAAGACCAATGAGGGCCTTCGGGGCTTTGAGGCCTTGTTCAGAGGCCGTGCAATTCTCTTAAGGTGAGAATACATAAAACGTTTTTTTGGCTAGCTTAAGTCATCGGCTGGCTTTTTCGTAGAGAAACAAAAGAGTTTTAGGTTGTCTTAGTTTGATTTTGGGCCTATGCTCCTTTTTTCTTTTCCGAAGAAGCCAGCCGATGACTTAAACCAGTCAAAGAAGGGTTTTATGTATTCTGATCTTTAGGTTTAGAAATCTTTGAAGATTCCTCATATTTTTCTTCTTCTTAATATAGATGACCCTCAACGGTCTAGGGGAAATATGAAAAGGCCTCCTTTATGTAAACTACCCTTCAAAGTCTTCTAGATCTAAAGGTGGGAAAATATAAAGCATTATTTGGTTGGCTTAGGTCAGCGACTGCTTTCTTCGTAGAGGAACAAATGAGTTTTAGGTTGACTTACTTCTATTTTGGACCTAGGCCCCTTTGTTCCTCTACGAAGAAGCCAGCCGATGACTTGAACCAGTCCAAAAAGATTTTTATGAATTCTCACCTTTACAGATCTTGGAGGCCTTCATAAAACCGAAAACACTATATTTGATAAGATAGATTCATCCTTAGAATTTCCTTAGAGTTATATGCAATTCTCACCTTTTGCGACACACCCACATAGTATTGTTTCTCACCCAAAACGACGGTCAAACCCAAAGATCTCGGTGATATGACCACAGTGGCGGAGGTCTCATCACCAGCACCACCAAACACCACCAAGGCCACAAATAAAATCGAAACTTTCCAGGTAAACGTCATGCTAAAGATTTAGAATTGTCAAACAATGATCTTAACCTGGTCCCCAACTGCTCCATATATAGAGACAATAGTTTTCGATTTCAAATGTAGTTTCAGTTTTTGAAATATATTACAACAATTTAGGGGATTTTTCCAGTTCTGAAAACCTTATCACAAAATTTGCATTACTGTGGAATACCTTCAGCCAATCTGACATTGATAAATGAGGAACCATTCATTTTTTTTTCGTTGGAAACAATGTAATTTTTGCGAGTTATTGGAAAATACGCCCAACGGAACTGAAATATTTGTTAAATTCATAAAATTTTATAGACATTTTTTTAATATTAAATGTAAGAATGCATAAATGTAAGAATCCCTAAAAGTGAGAATACATAAAATGCTTTTTTTGTCTGGCTTTAGTCATCGGCTGTCTTCTTCGAACTAAGTAAACCTAAAACCGCCTTTTTCCTCTACGAAGAAGCCAGCCGATGACTTATGCTAGTCAAAAAAGCGCTTTATGTATTCTCACCCTAAAGGTGAAGCTACATAAGCAGCTTGGCATATGTCAAATTATAGCAACGACGGCAGGATTTGAGTGAGGTTCTGGAATCATTTTATGGTATGTCAGAAAATATTCCATCCATTTTGTTTTTCTGTCATACCTTTCCGGATTGCTTTTTGATCAAAGAACAAAGTAAAGTTTTGGGTGGCCAAGTTTAAAATATGGGTCGAAAACGATCTATGGCAACCTAAACTCCTTTGTTTATTCTTTTATGAAAAAGTCGTCCAATGACTTAAGGTTCAATTATGCGCGCCATAACCACATAAAACCGCTATTCATAGCAAACTTATGGGGTGTAATGCGTCATTTATTTGTGACATACCATAACCCCATAGCCATAACCCTTACCATAGATACCAATTGAATTGTGGTTTTCTGCCGTAACCATAACTTTTTATGATTATGACACGCATAATCGAATTTTAAATCATTGAATGACTTTTTCATAAAAAACAAAAGAGTTTAGGTTGCCATAGTTCGATTTCGACCCATAATTTAAACTTGATCACCCAAGACTTTACATTGTCCTTCGATTAAAAAGCAATCCGGTAACTTATGCCAGAATAAAGGTCAAAATACATAACAAGATTAAATGTGTATATGGTTAAGGTTATTGATATGGCTATGGCGATGTTGTATGTTACATCTAATGGAATGTTTATGCCAGAAAGCAATCCTTTTAAGGTGAGAATACATATAACGCTTTTTTTACTGGCTAAAGTCATCGGCTGGCTTCTTCGTTAAAGAACAAAGGAGAGTGGCTCAAAAATCGAACTAAGTCAACCAACCTAGCCAGCCGTTGATTTAAACCAATAATAAAAATGTTTTATGTATTCTCGCCTTTAAGGTGTTTTTATTTTCTGGCAGAAGTCATTGACGGGCTTTTTTCTAAAAAAAAAAATAAATGAGCGTAGGGTGCAGAAGAATAAATTATAGGCTAAAATCGAACTAAGTCAACCTATAAATCCCTCCACCTTCAAAAGGAGGGTATATTAACTTTGTCATTCCGTTTGTAACATCCTAAAATATTCGTCGTAGGCCCCATAAAGTATATATATTCATAATCAGTATAAAATTCTAAGTCGATTTAACGATGTCCGTCTGTCGATCTATTCGTCTGTCTGTCTGTTGAAAACGCGATACAGCCCACATTTTTTGACGTAGAGCTTCAAAATTTTGCAGAACAATTTGTATTGTGTCTAGTATGGTTGGTATTGTTTTGGAATACCCGCCATGTAACGATACTTCCCGATATTCGGTATTTTGGTGATTTTGTCCACATTTTTCCACGGATTTATCTAAAAATTAGCGTTTGTAGTTCGTAATAGGTTCTAGCTCCTGTGACGAAACATCGTGTTTATAGGTCCTCGTTTTGGTATAGTCCCTATACCTCCTGATAGTCGGTGTTTTGACGATTTTTGCCAAATTTCTTCCATGGATATGTCAAATAATTGGTATTTGTAGGTCATAATGGGTTCTAGCTCCGGTGGCGAAAAGTGTATATAGGTCCTTGTTTTGGTATAGCTCCCCTACCTCCCGATAGTAGGTGTTTTAAGGATTTTTGCCGAATTTTTCCATGCATATTTAAAAAAAATGGTATTCTTAGGTCATAATGAGTTCTAGCTCCGGTGGCGAAATATTGTATGTATAGGTCCACGTTTTCGTATAACCCCCATATAATAGTACCTCCCGATATTCGTTATTTTTATGCTTTTTGGCAAATTTCTCCACGAATTTGTCTAAAAATTGGTATTTGTTGTTTGAAATGGCTTCTAGCTCTGGTGACGGAACATTATATATAAAGGTACCTCCCGATAGTCGGTGTTTTGACGATTTTTGCCAATTTTTTCCATGGATTTGTCCGAAAATTGGTATTTGTAGGTCATTATGGGTTTTTGCTCCGGTGGCGGAACATGGCATGTATAGGTCCACGTTTTCGTATAACCCCCATATAACAGTACCTCCCGATATTCGGTATTTTTATAATTTTTGCCCAATTTCTCCACAGATTTGTCTAAAAATTGGTATTTGTAGTCCGAAATGGCTTCTAGCTCTGGTGGCGGAACATGGTATGTATAGGTACACGTTTTTGTATGGCCCTCATATAATGGTACCTCCGGATATTAAGTTTTTTAATGATTTTCACCTCATTTTTCTATAAAAATTGGTATCTGTAGTTCATAATGGGTTCTAGCTCCGACGGCAGAACATTGAAAATTTAGGTCCACGTTATCCTATATCGAACATACGACGATACCCACCTAGGATTTTGATAATCCTAGTCATATTTACCCACCGAATTGTTTCCAATTTGGTATTTAAGAAGATTTGGCAGAGGATAAACCTTGAATTATAAAATTCTATGTGGAGGTTCCCGTTTTGGTATGGCCCCCATACAAAGGCCTCACCCACTTTATGTTTTTTTTTGAAAGTTTAACAGCTTTATCCAGGCGGTCTTACTGCTATCTGTAGTTTTGAAGTGGAACTCGTGTGGATTCAGATAATTTTATATAAAAATGTTGTCTTTGCCCACAGTATGAAGGTATTAAAAGTTCGACCCGGCCGAACTTATTTTTTTTTATATTTATATGAAGAACCAGCAAACCAACCAATAAAAAATTTCTTCTGTGTATATGCACCCTTAGGAATACTTACTTTCAGGCATCATTTATGTTTATCTCCAATACATTCTTCTTTTCGTTTCATATTACCTTCACTTTAATTAATAATAATTATGTTTAAATTTACCCTTCGAACGATAGAGATTGGCACGGACATTTACTTTTATTACTTCATTAAACTAATTGACATTTCTGTAAATTGACCTCTCTCCCATTTCAGCTATTGAATGACGCATTTAAAATGCATTAACAATTCCCTTTTTTAATGGAAATCATAAAAGAAAGCATGAGGGTGACATTGTATCATTATCCCTAAAAGTATGCTTTGAGTTTTGTCACTAATTACTGTGGCAATAATGCCAAGTTGACGATGCATTTCGAGTTGAGTTAATTAAGCAAACAAATGCTACCAATCACATTGTCACACAAACATAATGGCTATTATGCACTGTTTACACAGTGGGGTGTTTGAAAAGGGCTTTATGGTATGCAAAAGTTATTAAATAAAGATTATAATAATATAATCTTAAATGATTTAATTTGCTAGGCTCAAAAAAAGCATTTTATACCCATTCATATTATTAAGTAAACATAATTTCTTTTTTTTTTTTCAATATAATTTTTTTATTTTGCCATTAGAACAACATCCAAATTTCAAAATTATAAATCCATTGTGTATACACAAATCAGAGGTGGTAACCTGATGCAATGAAATTTGACAAGGTAAATTACAGAAAATCCAGAGATGGGAATGCGTATTTGAAATGACTTTACCTTTTTAATTTTACCATGGTTATAGTATTAATTTTGTATTTTTTTATTTATTTATTTATTTATTTTTTTTTTTTTTGAAAATGCTAGATGAGTTCCAAAATAAAAAAGATTTACCAATTCTCAATTATTATTCTCAATTTAAGGTATTTTAAAATATTTTTTTCCCACTGTATTCCACTAATGTGTTACATCCTCATTTATGTTACGCAGCTTATGAAGTTTTTGCAGTTTTCTCATTGCATACAAACGAAATATTCAGCTTGTCAATTTAGTTGATAATCCAGTTGAGTCAATTTCATTGAAGTATCCTTGGGAGATTATGAAACAAGGCAAAACATTTGCATCCGCAACTAAGTTTAACTTTCCCATTGACCTTGTAACGTTTGTCGATTGACAAGTGTTTAGTTTTTATCTGCGTTCTTTTTCATTTTATTTCGCGCTATCCTGCTTATCCTTGATAATAGAAAGGTTTTAAATTTATTCCAAAAAAAAAAAATGTTATTGCTGTATTTCGAATTGGGGAGAAAATAAGAAGTTAAACAAAGGACAACCCGTGAAAGTTGTTAAATTGCGTTTTGGATGGTTTGTGTATTGCTGTGTTTGGGTGTGAAGTAACATTCTTAAGGACATCTAGTGAAATTCAATTATCTGCTGTCAAGTTCGGAGGAATCTTTTTGTTGTCAAATGCATTAAATGCAGAATATTAGTAAAATTTTTATATAGAACTGGTCGATCTATAGAATCCTATAATGTCATATCTATTTTAGGCATTCAGATAGATCTACTATAGTTAACAGACATACAAAGTTTGCATTTGAAGGTGAGAACACATAAAATGGTTTTTTGACAGGCTTAAGTCATTGTTCGGCTTCTTCGTTCCCCTTTTTGAAAACTGAAATTTGATTTAGAAAAATACAATAAAGCTTTATATTCTGACAATTTTTTTGACATCAACTTTAATGAAATCATGTATATGCATGTTTATGGTTTACATTTCAAGGGGGGAGAAAAAGGAACACATTCATGGAAGAAATATAAAAAAGGGGATAACCTTAAAATCCCTGCCACACATTTACACTTTAGCAAAAACCA